GCTCCATCTTCGCCTCCTCTCCTGGGTGTTGCCATTACAATTCCGTATTGGTAGATGGTCTCAGGGAGATTCAGTGCAAAGTATTATTCTGAATAATTGTTTAGTTTTTATCTTTGGATTTTTAGGATCGTCCTTACTTTCTTGCTAGCTTGACTGTGCATTCAAAAAAAACCTCTATTCTCTCTGAATTGTGTATTGGGATAGTACAAGAGAGCTTATTTTGAGACTATTTAGTCTGCCATCTTACCAGAAATTGAAGTGACTCTTGTGACTCTTTAGCACATCACTGTCCTTTATCTCCTCTATAGCGCTCACTAACACCTGAATTTATTTTACTTATTTATGAGTTCATTTTCTGTTCCTCTGTTGCCAAGTTAAAAGTAAATAAACTGATGACAGGGTCTCCATTCTGTACACTGGCATAGCCTCAATATCTAGAAAAGTTGTTGGCATGAAGTAAGACTCAATCAAAATTTGCTGGGTGACCGATTGACAAATAAATCACGAAGTATACCTATGTGGACTATATCCTATGTGAACTTTAAAAATAACTATTTATAAATTATCTCTGACACAATAAGGTAGAAAGTCAGGTTATTTAATAGCATGTATAACATAACCTCTATTATAAAACACATGTATGCATATGTGTGTTTATGTTTGTATTTAAAACTATCTGGACGAATATACACAGAATATTAACTGTTTATCTCTGGTTAGTGAGATTTTTCATAAGTTTTCTTTCATCCTACTTCATACTGAACACATATTAGTATTTTTTTTTTACAATCAGAGGAGGGAAAAAACATCTTATAAAGATCTGGGATATTTGCTACCTTAATTTCAAGGTGAATATTACAGATAAAGTTTCATTTTGTCTTTCTTCCTAAGGACTCAGTCATAAGTTACATGTGTTTGTTTCTACTTTTCTTGGAAGTAAAACTAAGCCATTTTCAGGCTTCCTTTCCACTATTATTCTGCTCAGTATAGGATGTTTTTTTAGAAACAACATTAATATATGTTAATTTATCACTACAGACACCAGGATTATGCAAGGATCAGCTAGAACCTCTATTCTAGATTTGATACCTTTAGCAACTTTAGTTTTGTTACTTTGATGTAAGGAAAGGAAGGACACCAAAATATGTCCCACACTGGCCTGGGGAGAGGAAAGGAGTGTTAGAGATCCTTGTTCTCCTCTACCACTACAGTTTTTGTCAGCATAAATTTGGACTATGTTATATTTTTATGCTAGGTGTCACCTATGCTTAAGGAATAGTCAGCAAGTTCATTAATTAATCCTCTTCCTTCTCAGCTGCCTGCCATTTATATCAATGATAAAGTCAGGAGCTAAGGACGCAAAGGTGAGTAACAATCAAACCCTGCCCTTGCATCCCACAGAGATGTCAAAGAACATAATAAGGATATCGTGTCATAAGTGGTATGTATGAAATACTTTTGAAATTCAGAAAAAGCTCTCGTTGGATGAAGAAGCAGCAATCATCTGCCTCCTGTTTATTTTTCAGCCTTGTTCATTACACTTGCCTCTTTTGCTCTAGCAACACTATTTCTCAGTTTCCACAAACTACAGGCCAGGATTTTTGCTCATATTCATACTGTATCCTCTACCTGGAGTTTCCCTTGTTTCATTTTCCAGGCAAATTCCCACTTATCCTTCACAATTTGCATCAGGAAACTTTCTTTCTTTTCTTTCTTTCTCTCTCTTTCTTTCCTTTCTTCTTTTCTTCCTCTCCTTCCCCTTCACCTTTCCCTTTCCCTTCCCCTTCCCCTTCCCTCCCCTTCTCCTTCCTTCCTTCCTTCCTTCCTTCCTTCCTTCCTTCCTTCCTTCCTTCCTTCCTTCCTTCCTTCCTTCCTTCCTCTCTCTCTCTCTCTCTCTCTCTCTCTTTCTTCTCTTTTTTCTTCTTTTATTTTGAGACAGGCTGTCACTCTGTTGCCCAGGCTGGAGTGCAGTGGTATGATTACAACTCACTGCAGCCTCAACCTCCTGAGCTCAAGCAATCTGCTTGCCTCACCCTCCCAAGTGGCTGGGACTACAGGCGTGCACCACCATGCCCAGCTAATTTTTTATTTTGTAGAGACAGGGTCTCGCTAAGTTTCCCAGGCTGGTCTGGAACTAATGGGCTCAAATGATACACCTGCCTCAGCCTTCCAAAGGGTTGGCATGAGTCACCATGCCCAGCAGGAAACACTTTCTAATTCCCCCTCTTCAGGCGGGTTGGTTCTACGCATTCACTCATGCATTCAACAGGCATTTTTTGGACTCCTATGACCCATCAATCACTGTGCTAGACCTTGACAGACAGTGGTGAAACTTGAAATGTCTAGGAATTCAAAAGAGGGTGTCAAGCAAGCAGGCAGGTATATAAGCAGAAGTATGTAGCCTGGAGATAACAAATGTGTGCTTCATCTGCAAATGGGGATAACTCAAGTTATGAGCTTGGGTGGTGTCTGAGAAGAAAGTACTGAAGAACAGAGGAGGGTCTAGAACCCAACATGGAGAAATCCCAACACTTAATGGCAGAGTAGTACAGAATAAGCCTGCCAAGGAGACAGAGCAGAAGGATCCTAAGAAGCAGGCGAAAAGCCAGGAGAGTATTAGGGCCCAGAAGCCAAAGGAAGAGAATGTATCAAGGAATGTGTGGTTAAATTCAAAAGCTGCTGAAAGGTCGGATAAGATAAGGAATAAAAAACATTCATTGGATCTAGAAAGATGTAGGTCACTGGTGACCACAGCAGAAGATGAGAAAAAAATAATGGCACTCGAATTCATATTGGAGTGGACTGGAGAGTAAGTGAGAGGTGAGGAAATGAAGCCAGTGAAACTAGACAACTCTTTCTACTACTTTGGCTATGAAAGGGGATGAGAGCAATAGGGAAGAAATGAATTGAGATGAGAAGAGAATATTTTTGTTTTTTTATTTTTGCAATGTGAGAGACTCTAGATTGTGTCTAAAAATATTATTCAATATTTTGAAAGGAGATTACTGGGTGTACTTTCAGTACAATGCTAGGGTGCACTTTTTACAACAATTTACAACTCTGTAGTGGCCAACATGGACATTTTTATTATTAGAAACATGAATAAATTTAATCCAGGTAAATAGACAACCAGTGTGAACCAACGGACCTGCTGGACATTAACCAGTGTTGCGTCTAACCCAGAAATTATATCCTAACATTTCTTTGTTGAATTGACTATATATGTCACATTTCCAGTGCTTTTTGGGCTGGTTTTACTGTTTTACCTGCACCCTCCATTATTTAATGAATTAAATACAATCATTGTTATGTGCTTGTTTTGCATTTGCCTGAGAATCATGATTTTTACCGTTGTAAAATTATACTTTCATACTTGCCAAACCATTTTAAGAAGAATGTGGAGAGATCAGATCAAGCACCAGCTTCATGAAAATGAAAGAAACATATTCAGAAAAATGCAGGCTGCAGAACAATATAAAGAAGAAGGAAGTAGGCACCAGTAGAGCTGAGAAAATCCTAGGAAGGACATGAATTTTCAAAACATAAAGCCATAACTATTTAGGGTTTTAAGTTTGAGGCCTACAGAATTTCACTATGAGTTCATAAAGAATTTCTGGTCAATACTTATTTTAAGTGGATAAACTACAAAAAATACAGACTTTTACTCAGAGAGTGAAAGCTGAGTATTGTGAGGGGCTTTTGGATGCATTTGTGAACGGAAATCCAAATGCCATGGATTGGTGTAACTGGTAATATCTTTACATTTCCAAATTAAGATGTTTACTTCTGGGCAGAGTTCAACAAGCATCGTTGGAGCATCTCACTAGTTTTGGTGCCTTACCACCTCTTCATGGCTGCTCACCCAGCACTAATGTAGATGATGTTCCACACAGCTCAGAATGAAGTGTTCGTTATGGAAATAGAGCACACGTAGTTAAAGACAGCAGCACACTCTGCTCCGGAGCTCCCAAAATAAACTTGGTTACATAATATACAAAAACCTCCCAATCACTCCCTTGGGTTCCCTTGGCAGAACAGCCCATTTCCACCAAGAGGAACTAGTCCATTGTCCACAATAAGGACTCTACTCACTAACATTTTTGTCACCCTTACAATAAGACTTTTTGAACTTTTATCAGAAAGGTCTTTGCTGGCCCCTTTTGCTCCACAGAAATGGTAGTTAAGGGAATCAAACTGGCTCAGCAGAAATAAAACATTAATCAACAGTAACCTTCTGTTTTATCTGTTTTCCTACCCAAGGCCTGATTATCTCGTGAACGGTCCATTCTAAGAAGTCATTGTGACACTGCTTATTTGAGCAATATGTTTATTCAGAGTTGCTCACCTCTTACTGTGATCTTTACAGTGTAAATTTGTTTGGGGCAGGGATCTGGCTGTTCACAAATTTTGCCTAGTGCAACGCTTTTTCAAACAGAAAACAAAATTAATGTATTTTGATCATAAGGATAATACTGATAACGATGACAAGAAGGCACAAAGGCACGCGGGGAATGCTCTGAGGCAGCGCAGAGCAGCAGAATGTTCATAACTATGGCTAGTGCCATGGCAGTTACAGAAGCAGCATCAGAGACAATCAGTTGGTTTTGGCACTGCTCACCTGGAAGACAGGCTCTACCTGACTAAATTTCTATGCATTACAAATGACTGGTTAGCAAAGAAATGTGGTTACAATGTCTGACTCGTTAAAAAGAGAAAGAGAACACTTTCTCATTGGCTTTTTTCTTTTTCTATGTGGAATTCATATGTCCTTACTATACTTTATCACTTGCTCTCCTTATTTGTGATAAACATAAGAAGGTCAAATTGTTACCTGCCTTGTTACATAGTATTAAGTGGGGGTAAAGCCCTGGTGGACACCTTTTGCTGCAGCCAAAACAACATACCCATTACCCCATCCTACCGAGCAGTTAGAGGGAGGAAGAAACGCATCGGTGCAGGTGACTGTTCCTCCAAGGGTGTTCAAGACCATAGGCAGGAAATAGGAGCCAAAACATTTTTATTTGTGGCAGAAGAAATGGCTCATGATCAATCCATCATGTTTTGCCAGGCAGAGCTCCAATCACCTCCTATGACTGGGGCAAAGCAGGGAGGGGAGCAAGCACAGAGAAGGAAAGTGTAAGGAGATGGTGTGAGGGCTCATTTCCATGCCTGTCCCAGAGCCCCCTTGGAAAAACAGAACAACAGCCACCATTTATGAACATTTAACGTGTGCCAGACTCTGAGCTAAGTGCTTCCAGTATACCAGCTAATTTAATCCTTCCAACACCCATTATGAGGTAGGTATAATTAACTCCTCTTTACTCATTTGGAAACTAAAGCTTTAAGACATTAAATAACTTGCCCCAAAGCATACAACTGCCAGGTGTTGGAGTCAAATCCAAGGCTCATCTGACTCTATAACCTTACCCTCAACCATTATGTTATGTTAATGCCATAGAAAATTAGCAGTCATTAAGCCTCCCCCAGTCTAACCTTTTACTGAGTGCACAAATCCCCTTGATAACACCCCAAACACATGACCATCTGTGGCTCTGTAACCTCCATTAAAGAAGCAGTACTGCATAGCCTGGCATTTCTCAAACTGGTACCTGAATCCTCAGAGCAGATAGATTCTTAACACCCATTGGTACCCAGAGGACATTTAAAGCCGTAGTCTAACCATGTCTCCTCTTCTAGAGGGTCAATTATACTTAAAGAGATGGAGGAGCAATTATATTTTTTATTCAAACAAACAAATATGGCTAAGTCCTCACTTAGTGAAATGCCAAAAACCAAAACCAATTTTACTGTAGGCTAATTGATATAAATAAGAGTTAAGTTCTATGGCATATTCTGGTCACAAAAACATCACCAAACTTCTAAAGAAAAACCAAAACACTTCTAATATTAAACATTGAAATAAATGTGAGCTATATATACATTTAAGAAAGATTAATAAAAACAAGAAGATCATTATTTACCTACTGCCTCAGAGTCCCCACAAGGAAAATGCCTAGTGGAGCTGAGAAGCAGGGCCACCCACCCTCCAGACCCTAGAATATTAGAGCCACCAGCAGTGTACAACTTCAGCCTGGAGAAGCTACAGGCATTTGACTGCAACCCACAAGAGCAGCCAAGTGGACTGAGCCTGCAAAGCCACAGAAGCAGGACTGCCTGAGCCTTGGCAACCAACCTCTCACCGGTGTGCCCAGGATGTAGGACATGGAGTTAAAGGAGTTCATTTCTGGAGCTTTAAGACTTACTGTCTGCTCTGCTGAGTTTCAGATTTGCTTGGGACCTGTCTTTCCTTGCTTTTGGCCCATTCCTTCCTTCTGAAATAGAAATGTTTACCAAATGTCTGTTACACCATTGTGTCTGGGAAGTAAATAATCATTTTCGATTTTACAATCCTAAGTCTCAGGAAACTTGCCCTGAGTCTCAGTTGAGACTTTGGGCTTTGGACTTTGAAGTTGGTGCTGGAACAAGTTAATACTTTTGGGACTATTGGGATGGAATGATAAGTATTTACATGTGAGAAGGACATGAGATTTTGGGGGCCAGGAGCAGAATGCTGTAGTTTGGAGGTTTGTTCCCTCCAAACCTCATGTTGAATGTTGGGGCCTAATGGAAGGTGTTTGGGTCATGGGGGTGCATCTCTCATGAATAGATGAATACCCTTCCTCAGGGATGAGTGAGTTGACTTCTCACTCTACTGGTTCTTGTTAAAAAGAGACTTGCTCTTCCTGCCTTTTCTCTTGCTTCCTCTCTCACAGTGTGATCTCTACATATGCCACCTCCAGCTCCCCTTTGCCTTCTGCAATGAATGGAAGCAACCTGAGGCCCTCACCAAATGCAGATGTCAGTGTCATGTTTCTTGTAGAGTCTGCAGAATGATGAACCAAATAAATCTTTTTTCTTTATAAATTACACAGCCTCAGGTATTTCTTTATAGCAACATAAAACAGAGTTGAGATACCCACTTATTCCAGTTTAAGGTCTTAAGTGGCCAGAGTCTATCTCAGCACCTCAAGGAACAAGGTGGGAACCCGCCCTGGTCAAGACATCATTCCATTTCAGGGTACACTCATATCCATGCCCACAATCCCTCAGACTGGGCAATATAGACATGCCAATTCACCCAACATGCACATCTTTGAGAAATGGAAGGAAACCGGAGAACTCGAAGAAAACGCACACAGACATGGGCAAAATATGGAAACTTTACACAAATGGTAACTCTGGCCAGGAACTGATTATTTTTCTCATCAATGTTACAAAAAAACTACATTGAACAAAAACAATGTTATTTGAGGATCAGCTGTATACTGTGAAATTAATCGCAACATCATCATTTATGAAACCTTAAAAATTAGCACTTGCATTGAACAATTACATTCTACAACACCAGAAGCTGCAATCCCACGGGACTCCCCACTCCCAACTGGTTCAAATTCCGTCTTCTATACTTAGTAGTACTTCAATGCAAAAGAATGAGAGGAACTGGTTTAGTGGACTAAGCATAATCTTTGGAATCTAAGTCCAAAGTTCTTATCCCATCACTACTTCTAATCTGCTATCAGCTTAATCATGAGCAAGTTAATCTGTCTGAGCCTCAATTTCCTTATCCATAAAATGGGAACGATATTGCTCATTTCTCAGAGTTGTTGGGAGGACTAAATGAGACAAGTACAAGTGTCCAGCATAGTTCCTGGCACATCAGAAATAGTCAATATGGTTTCTCTCCCCCTCATTCTCTGAAATCCACCACTCTAAATTCGTATGTTTAGCATAATCAACCCTCCCAGCATCACAGAGGGGCTCCTGCTTGTCACTGAAGCTTCCTGAACCTCTCTTTATACTACCCTTGACAAGACTCAGTTAGTGAACATTGCTAGAGATTAGCTGGTGTGAATCACAGGCTCTGCCTCTATTTCCTTCCACACCTCCTGTCTAGCTTTCCTTGCCGGAGAGCTGCCATTCCTCATACCTGCAAGATTCGAGTACTGCCTGTATACTACTAGGCCACATCTAGTCACCTGTAATCTCAAAGCGATGGTCATTTGAGGTATCTGAATAGAAACACAAAGATAGCTAAAGCTGCAAGAGGATTGGGGTTTCCCTAGAAAGATGACCTCATCATCTCAGTGGTAATTTGCAAACATGCACAACTTGGGAGGAAGAAGTGACTTCTTCCTTGGGGCTACTGAAAATTGTTCACTTTGGTTTTATAGAGTCCTCCGTTTCTGACTCAGGTTAGGGGTAACTGTTCATCAATAACAGAGATGTGGAAAAGGGATTTGCAAACAAAGATCCACACTTAATCAGCAGGTGCCAGAAATTGCATCCCAGTGCTGTGAGCTCTCCTTACCCTGACAGAAGTGAGAAAGGGAACAAGGGGTCCAGGTGGGCCCCAGGCTGTGTCCCAGTCTCACAGCTGATAGCTTGGCTCTTGAAACCCCAAGGGATGGCTGGTTGGGGTGGTATTACAGGGTTGGTAAAGTGTTGCTTTTAAAAAATACACTTTTTATTGTGATAAGGGGATGTTAAAGAAAGAGAAAGGCAGGTGCCCCTTGGGAGTCATTCAACAGCATTACCACATGTGATATCTAGGAAAGCATTTCCCTTTTTGCTTAGAAACAACAAGCTACCCAGGTGGTGCCTGGGTAAGGTTTCTTAGCCAGCACCCCTTTGACCTGGTGAGGAAGCCAGTAACAATTTAGCTCTGTTTGTGTCTTCCAACCACCATCTAATTCATGGGCACTGGTCTGACTTCTTCTTCTTTATGCTTTTCCCTGGAGCAGCGGGGTCAGTGCTCTTTGAACTCAGCTCTCTGAACTGGAAGGAACAGGCCCAAACCAGGCTGTCATGCGGCCATCCCAACCCACTGTGGGCTCAGGGGGTTTCCTCCGTTTCTGTGAGAGCAAGGACAGGGAGAGAGTCCTTGTGGCCTTGTGGCCGGGAAGGTCTGATGAGCAGCTACTCTGTCTCGCTCAGCTTCACAACTCTCAACCAATCAGCTAAGTAAACTGATGCCTCTATGTCTTTCAACTGAACCACAAGTTAAGTGGAAAGTCACCCTGCAAACCTGGGTATTGGGGAGTGAATAAAACCCTCTCTCTCTGACAAGGCTAGTAGTTCCTTCAGCCAGTTGCTGGTTGAGAAACTCTTATCAGTAGTGTCCTTTATATACCCAGTTGAAGTTGATATGCCTTTAAAATTCTCTTATGTGGATTTTTACTTCTTAGCACATTATAAACCCAGTAGGACAAACTGTTAAAAAATTTATTTTTAAAAAGGACTGTCTACAAATCTATTAATCCTGGGATACAAAGTGTAGGATTTTCCATCAGCCAAGGTTATTATTGTGCATTTTGTGCTCTGAAGGTGCTTTTCCCTTTGTTTAATGAGCTAAAGCTTCAGGACAACCATGTTAGAGGGGCTGATGCCATAGCTGTCATTATCTTAATTTTCTCCACAAAGGGTCAAGAAAGGAAGTGATATACAAGAGGGCCTGGAGCCTCTGCTTGAACTAGGACCTGAACCCTTATACTCCAAAGCAAGAGACTGGGACTGAGCCTTCTAACTTTTACCACTAAGCTAGCCATCCAACCCCCGAAGGGGCTGCCCATTTTAACCTCTCTTATTTACACATCTGTTTATTAAATCCCACTTTAGAAGAGATGAGAAGCAAAGAGAGAAATTAAGAAAATATTGATAAGTCATTATGTCCTTACCAGATGGAAGAAAAATAAAGAAAAATTTAGCAATTCTTTCAGATGAGTTTAAGGAATGTCCCTGTGTGTGTTGTAGGGCAAGAGAAGGAAAATATTCCCCTTTCAATGGGTACTTCCTCTGCTTTAAACCAGAAAGAAACGCCTCAATAACAGGTTGTACAGAATGTTACTTCAAAGACCTCAAGTCGGCACTTTGGATGCTCTTGCCACAAACTGTATCCAAAAATGATTTAATTTCCCCCAGCCAGTGATGTGTACAAATGGCGCACACACCACTAACCACACATGCACGCAATGTATGAATTCTCACATTCCTGATATCTCATTCCAACTTAAGAATACTTTTTCCAGAGCTAAAAAGACATGAATCAAGTTTGTAAAAGGATATGTGAGAAAACGCCAAATGAAAAATGAAAATCAGATGTTTTTAAAGGCAGAGCCTGAAGTGCTTTGCTGAGATGTCCTGCACCCTAAAGGCCATTGAATCTTGTAGACCAAAGGGTCATTGGGTATGGCAGCAAGAGGAGAGCAGTTTAGTAGTTCTTTAAAGTAGTTATAAAATAGCTAAATCTTCTGAAGGAATGGTATTTCTGAGTAGTTCTTATGGGCATAGCATCCCTGCAACTCAAGATACTTTTCTGTATCATTGTTGCTGTACTTTCAGCTGGTGGGATTCTTGAGAATGAAATAAGTCATTCCTACCAAAATGAATCCCCTGATACCATGACTGGGCCTAGAAAAAACAACAGCAGCATATTTTTTCAGCCTAGTACATTAATAGACTCACAAAAAATTTATTGGGAACATGGAGTGGTGGGAAGGTAATATTTTACATCATAGTTCCTTATTTTGATAAACCCCTGATGTGAATTCCTATGTTCTGAGCCAGCTTCTCATCAACAGAATTAAAATGTTCTCTGCCATTCCAGTCATAGTATGACATTGGTCACAGTGCATTGTAAACTCAGTCACTTTCTCTGGAAATTGCTGTGCAGGGGACTAAGTGGATTTACTGACAAGATAACTGCCAGCCTTAGAAATATTCTGTTGATGGTGACCTGGCAGATTTTATGCATGCCATTGCTTAAGAGTCCCCATATTGGATAAAATTTAGAAAATTTTATTGCCCAGTAGGATACCAAAAATCTACACAAAACATTCATCAGAAGCATAACTTATGAATGCTTTCTACTCTATATGGTCTTTATATTTTTCTGAAAATCTTGATTTGGACAGTGCTTATTTAACTAAGAGCATGTCTATACTATGTGGGTTATTGTCTTTTTTTATTTGAATGGGGCATTATGATTATTCAAAGGAAAGACAGATTTGAAGGGCATCACGGAAGAGGAAATGTGATAAGTAGCTAGAACAATATGTTAGCCATATACACAACAGTCCCCACTTTCTCTAAGGAATGGCAGTGTTGACAGATACTAAGCCATGCTCTTTTTATGCTATACATGTCAATAATCTCTGCTTGTGTGAGACTAATTAAAGCAGAAATAATTACTTAGATAAATACAAGAACATGGAATTTAAAACAACTGATACCACACATAAGACTCCATCTCTCCTTTTTTGTTTTCCACAGAATCTCAATACCAAATATTGGCAAGTCTAGT